GGCGTTGATGATCATGCAGTTTATTCTTTCTGTCCGATGCTGTAAACGGCATCATTTCATTCGATTCGATTCGAGTCTCAGGATGTTCGATCGACTTCACGAGGAGGCCTATGGAGCGCTCAGCGCATCGGCATATGTTACGCTAGCAACCGTTAGAGAGAGAGAGAGAGAGAAAGAGAGAGGTGTTTTCGCCTACAGACTTCCAACAAATATCTGCCACTTTAATGTCCACCCCTCGTACTCTCTCCAAGAGGTGTCAACATTCTCCGCTTGTATACTAACGAGGAGCGGGCGATGGAATTTTGAAGCATGGATGTTAATCCCTCTTAAAGGCCCAGGGATCTTCGGAAAATCCATGTGCACTCGTACATTGTGATCAAATGCAAATTCACCGGTACTTGGGCATAAATTAAAAGCCAAAAGAGCCTCAACGAGAATAGTAAAAAAACGGAGTGATGGATCGCAATCGGGGACACATGTCAAGTATTGGGGCGACAAGTCTCCAGGAAAAAGGTAGAGAGAAGTGACCTCCACATGACATTCTGTCATATTTAATGGTAATTCCGTCCAGGCCGATTAACCAAATCGGGCTACCACAATGTTCCCGTCGTTCCACATGTGCGGCATCTAAAATCCTGGTCACTGCGGCTAATTTCACAAATAATTAATGAACGGGTGGTAGTGGATGAAACCGAGCACCCGATGAGAAGAAGTCGTGTGCACATCGGTTGCAAAATGCAGCGCAACAGTGACACTTATTATTCGGAGCATCAAACACCATAGAAACGGAGCTATATCCATTTCTAATACGATACAAATGATACGCTACCTCTGAGCAGATTAGTTTGGAATCTTTCCTTCTGGTGATTTTAAGCTAACAATAGACCGAATACATTTTTATTTATATTGATGTATAAGTTCTCCGTCGATCAATCTCAAAAGGAGATATTCTACAGGTATACTTAGGCATGCATGTATATATGATGGCAGAAGTTACGTCATGTGCATTTACTATCTAATCTCCCCGTGACACGGGAAGAAGAGTTTCGTCTGGTAATGTTGAAAATTCTCCAGTTGACACATCCTTTGAATCTTCTAATGGAAATGATTGACATCCGAATGTGTTCTCCATTCGAGGTCGTTGAATTTGGTTCAGTCAAGCTCGGGCTCGAACTACAGCGCGTCAGAAAATAAGTGGATGAAGATAATCGAACATCAATAGTTGATCTAAGCTAACGAGACCGGATTATTTATTATGAGCGCCAGTTAGCAGTGAACATTGGAGGCTCGGGCATATGAGAGAATGCAGATTAATTAATAATCAACACCAAAGAAGAGGAGAGAGAGAGAGAGAGAAAGAGCTTAGGGTGCTCAGTGCAATCTGGAAAAATATCTCAATCATGTTGCACAGATCATATCAAATCAAATCTCTAGACAAGAGCTGCCGAAGAGTGCAGATCCTCGCAGATCTCATGTTGGGAATTTGCAGGACACACACAAAGACTCGATCCCCTTCCCTCCCTCCATGCACCCCTTAACTCACTTCCTCCCTCCCTCCATTCTTTCATTCGATAATCTGTCTTCGAGTAGCGCAAACGATACCACAAGGGCAAGAGACAAATCATGTCACTGGCGAGGCAATCATGCGAGGTCGAAAGCAGCAGCACATCTGCTGAATAATGTGGACCAGCAGATGCCACTACGCCATCAGAACGACGAGTCTATATTCCGCACAAGTACAACATTGCGGATCGTCGAAGCTCACGCATCCAACCCAACCCAATTCCAAGAGTAGGCTCGCATCACACGCTAAACATAGATCACGATAGACAAATCTGGGATAAGCAATCATCAGACCGTACTACTTACTTATCCCCTAAGTATCTACTGATCGCCGAGCTCGTACATGAGAGCCGTAGGCGTCTGGGTTCGGGGCTTAGAGGGGAGGGGATAGGGAATACTATACAGAAGCGTATGCGCTCGGGGGTAGTTTTGGCACCGGGGACCATATTTGGTTCGTGGCTCGTGTACACCTCCACCAGACGCAGCCGACAGATTGTACCGCGAAGATGCTCGTCAGCTTAACGCACGTCCGTATGAACAATGGAAACGCGACTCCTGTTCGATCGAAATGCTCGCACAGCATTGGCCGCTGCACGCTCGAAGCAAGGCGCAGGAACGTTTTTTATCTGCGTTGCGGGGGTGGCTTTTATGTTCCGTGTCTCGTTGACCGACGACGCCCGAGACTGTTGTGCTTTTGAAATCGCAGCCCCCGCTTCGACTTTAGAGCCTCGCCTTGGCTCGCAAATCGCTCCACTTCTCGTCACCTCGCGGCCCAATTTCACCTCTCGCCCTCATGCACCTGCACCTGCACGCACACGACCTGGCCTGACCTGACCCGACCCGACCCGACCTCCCTCCCTCCCTGGACCGACCGGCCGTCCGGACCTCGAAGCTTTCTTTCTCTCGATGGATGCATGGCCGGCGTATCATACTCGAAAAGCGATCTCCTGCGGCCAAATCCTCGCAGGGCTCGGGCTCGCCCCCTTTTGTGGATCGATCGCTTCGGGGACCTGCCCTGGGGCGCAATTTTTAGGGTATCTGACGGAAGCCCTCGGAAGAAATCTTAATGCCAGGGCCTGCTAGCCAGCCGCGGTATAAAGACGCGTCCAATCCAATGCAGCATGGACCCGCAAAGGATGCACAGCCTGAATCGGTCGGTTGATTAATTACAGCAGCATCCGGTGTGATGAAATTAGTTCGTTATGTTTGTGAGATTTGATCGAGGCGATGCATCGATCGTGAGCTTCTCGACTCCAGTGGCGATGGAGGAGAGGCGATGGGTTTGGACGATCTAATGCTGAATGCTGAATGAGCTCGGGGACTCGATCAGAGCGAGAGAGAGCGAGAGCGAGCGAGAGCTGCAGTGAATTGTTCGAAAATGACAAAGGGCAGTTGGAGAAAGAGGAAGCGGAGACGTTGACTAAATCCGTGGGCCATCATCAGTGGGCGGATGCAACGTGAAGCCCACGGGGGGGAGGGGCTAAATATTGCGGTGTCCTGGTTTCCGCTGGCACTTCGTGCGAATTCTGCTGCTGTTGCTGCTTTCAACGCCGGATAAATTTTGACTGGGACGTTGACCGAGGTTCGTGCAGCAGTAGTGCGACGGGAGGCAAGCCCGCGGATAGCCTCACCTCGTCACATCGCGCGGCACTTCCTTCATGCACTCGTCTTGATTTGCACGGTGCCTGGCCTGGTCTGGCCCCGCTCGACGGCAGCCGTGGCACTGATGAGATCTGTTCCAAAAGGCAGGCACCCGTTCCGAGACCTCAAGCCCAACCCCCAACCCCAAGCCCCAAGCACAAGCCCAAGCCCAAGCCCCAGGCGCACGTAAGACGCGGAGATTCTTTAGGGTTCGCATCGAAATTCGACCTGACAAGCACGCGAAATTGCCGCCTCATCCCCGGCCCTTCCTTCGTCCCCGTCTTTGCCGTCCCGTGTGTTGTATCTGCGCTGCGCTTGTCGTCATGATCCCCTCCCCCCGCTTCCCACTACCCCAACCCCAACCCCCTCTCCCTGTCTCGCATTGCAGCAGCTTCCGCTGCCCCATTCGTTGCATCGTCCGTCCGTCGCCCATCGTGTGTACTCGCGGCGAGATGGGTCAAACATGAGTCTCTCATTCTCTCGTTCGCTCGCTCGCTCGCTCTGTGTCTGGCGGATGTGCATGCAATTCGGGACATTCTGGCGCATACACGAAGCCCCGCGAATAGCGTGGCCCTTGCGCTCGTGCTTCCCCATTGGCGCTTTGTTGTTGACGTCTCCGGGCCCTGGAGCGCTGCGCTGTGGTTTCCTGCGGGTCAACGTCCCCTCGCCTTCGCCGATCGTGCGGCGTGAGACCAAGTGTCGAGACCCGGAGCATACACGGCGCGCCTCTGTCAGAGCTCGAAGCGCCATCGGTCGATCCATCGATCGAGCGAGCGAGCGATAGATACGATGTCGTCGTCCTCGTCGTTCTCGTCGAAGCCTGTAGCATGCGCCCGGGGCACAGAAAGCTTCTGTGATCCAGCGGCGCGTGATGCTGTCTCTCGTCTTGTCTCCTTCTCCTTCTGGCAGCCGTCCGTGGAACTCTGCAGGGCGAGATTTTGTTGAATCCTAGCTTCTGAGGCCACGAATTTTGCGGATTCTCTGAGCAGGAACTCGAGGCTATGTATGTATGTCTGTTTGTATGTCCTAAGGTCTGCAAATTCGACCCGGTGACTTCGTTTGAGCATTCGGTTTCCTCTTTCTCTTCTTCTTCTAATTCTTCTTCTTCGAGGCTTACGATTCAATCGAGTGAGCGCATCAGATCCAAGAGCTGCATCTGTCTCCCTTCCCATCCCAACTACTAAAACACGTCGAACTTCCTTGGACTCAATCATCGCTCTCACCGACAGCCACACAACACGCGAACATCGCCCGCGAATCGAGACGAAACTCAACTCTACTCAACTCCAAGACGAGACACCAGCCCCCTTCTAATCACACGACGACTAGTGAGGGAACGGCAAATGCGACATGAGAAATCTGTACAGCCATACTTACTCTCCTAACGGGTACGACATTCGTTTGCATCTCTTATTCCGACTGTCACCTGTCCACGAAAGGAGAAGAAACAAGCCAAAGGAAAAGAAAGAAAGAGAGAGAGAGAGAGAGAGAGAGAGGAGTTTTCCCCTCGCGCAGGCGCAGTATCTCAGCCTCACGTAGGAAACGAAGATCAGACCGTGAAGGAGAAGCAGAGAGAGCTGAGAAGTCGATTCGCAGGCCTTGCGCTCCATGCCTCCATAACCTAGCTACACCGGCACAGTAGTAGCACGCTAGGCGATGCGAGCTCGTGGAGGCAGGCGAGCAGCACAAGCAGCAGCAGCGGCGGCAGCAGGTCACAGGATTGGTTGGGCTTTTAGCAGGGCATATCTCAGCCCTACGTGCAGAGCTAATAGATTATACTTTTTGGCCAACCTCCATTCCTTCTTTCGTCTTCCTTCCCTACTTCCTTACTTCTTCATAGCGACGTCTCTCGCTCGCTAATGAACTCGGTCAGATTTGCAATCGAGTCCCTCTTTGGGACGTATGGCAAAATAGACAACATTTTCACCGTACGATCGATGTTCTGCTCTGAGACGGCATTTTACCCATAACTTTCTCCCAGGCAGACCAGCCCCGACGGCTCGCGTCTAGGCAGGTCGAAGGAATGAACGACGACGTTCCGATCACACGGAGTCGGACGTGTGCTCTCCTCTTGGTCCGACGAGGCCGATGAAGATCAATTCCCATCGACGCGTCGACATTTTTCCGAAGACGAACGGATCGACACGGTGATTCGCAGCTGAGTTGCTGGTTTCTGCGGGGAGTACGTCTGTCTACCGATCGACTCGCGGCAGTGGATCAGACTGCGTTCAGCATGAGGAATGCGATTGATTGATCGACTGATTGAAGGAACGAATGATCGATCGATAACACACAACCTACAAGTCTCAAACGGACGAATCGACTGCCAGAATCTCGAGGTTCTCCGTCGTTCCAGTTTCGTTGATTCCTACCCTTCTCTTCTCTGCTGGACTTGGTCCAAGCACGAGACTACAGTGCTTCCAGAACCACGAGCACCAGCTGTGCTTTTGGCATCGGAGTCAAACCAAATCTCTCTCTCTCTCTCTCTCTCTCTCTCTCTCTTCACATGGAGGCTCTAAGCCCCTCTACCCCTCAACGGAGCCAGCCACTAGAGAGCCCGAACCACTGTTTCGGATGTTATTGCGCTTCTGTTTGCGCATCGATGTTTGCACTGTTTTGGCACCGTATTAAGTTGCCTTAGACATAGACATGGTCATAGGGGGCTGTGAACCGAGTAAATTGATGTCTCTCCCTCCGGTGCTCTGGCGCATTGCACTGTGTGGGTATGGGCTGGGGGCTGGGGAGGGGAGGGGAGGGGGTTCCGTCTAGCGTCTCGTGGATCTGCCTAATCTATGAACGGGAGGCAAAATGCGCGGTGGGGTAAAAGCCCAGGACTCGGGAATCCACATCCGCACCGGACTAGGAAGGAAGCACCACATGCGCCGCAAAAGGCAACAGCGTTGTGCTCTCGAGCGGCTGGGCTAGCACACGGGGCAAGCGCGAGCGCGAGCGCAAGCGCAAGCCTAAGCCCAAGCCCAAGCCCCTCAGCCCCCCAACCAAAGCCCCCTGAGCCCCCGAGCACGCGCAGCTTTCCACCGCTTACTGGTTCGATGCGACTGCGGGGGCAGCAGCTCAGCTCAGGATCTAGAGGCCGGATGCGGGTGGACGGTGGTGGATATGGAAAGCTTGAACGTCGGGCGGAGGCGAGGAGGGAGAGAAAAGCTGGGGCACTTTTCGCAGCCAAGAGAATGGCTGTCCTAAAATTTGAACTCGCACGATGCGAGCTCTTATCGCCTTGTCACGGACACAAGTTTCTGTGTGGAAGGTTCTCACACACTCGACACTTGACAGGCAGCAGAGAATTTAACTCCGGCACGTGCGGAATCAGCAACATAAACTTTACAGTGGATATCTGATCACTGGTCTGTCTGTTGAGTCCTCGCTTCTCCAGAGTGGTGTCACAGCGCAGCTCAGCTCAGCGCAGCGCAGGGAGTTCTCTCACTTCCTCGGCCCTCGAGGATAATACCGGAAAAGTCAGACGCGAGAAGAATCTCGTACGCTTCATTCAACTGCTGCTGCCATCCTATTCAACCTGGCGTTTCTTAGCTTGTTCCATACCTTCTCTCATTTTCGCTTTCCCACGTGCGTGCATCCATCCAAGGTTTCTATTCTGGAACTGCTCTCTCTGAGACGCCTCTCCTCTCGCCACCACCAGCTGAAGCAGCACCAGCACCATCACCAGCATCGCATCGCATGCATTCTATTTGGCCACCAGATCTTGTGGTACGATCCGATTTCGAGCCCTCCTGCTCGGCTGCACGAGCAACTGTTGGTCGCCATTGCCAAGGCGGAGCTCTGTTTCGCTCCATGCAAGGGACGACGACGACTACGACGACGACGAACGAAGGTACCTCACCTCGCTCGACCTCTCATTGGTTGGCGGCCGTGCTTTTCATGTTTCTGAGTCTCTTTCTAGAATGTGACGGCCGCTGAGCGATTCTCATCGCCAGCCTGCTACGGAACGACAACCTCTTCAGAATTTCAATCCAGGAGCTCGATATATTGTCGAATCACAAACCCATGCATAGCCAGTACTCTCTCTCTCTCTCTCTCTTCCTCTTCCATCGGGGAGAGAAATTTGGCATAAGTAGAGCTCTGAGTCTTGTGTACCCGAAATTGTAGTGTTTGGCTTTCATGGCGAGCATGGTAATTCGCAGAGCATCCCCCACAGAAGACGCAGCCCCACGGCCTTCTGAACAATATAGGATACAATTTGCTCACCTGGCCTGATCATTGCGGTGGCATGGTTTGTGAATCTTCTTAATGAACGGCAACATTGGTCTTGCCGATCTGTTGCCATTTTTATTCAGATGTCTCCGATGGTGCTACCTGTGATTCCTCTTGATACACCGTAGGTCACGAGGCAATATGTCCAGGGAATGTGTGAGTCACTGACAGACACACAGACGCACATCCTGCATTGTTTCTGATAGCGGACCTTTGCCTCCAACGCTGTGTCTTCTTCCAGCCTTTAGTCTCGTCTTGAGAACCTGACATGTACAGTCTTAGCCAGTTGACCGAGAGGCTGTTTTGCGTAACTATTCTCAGACTGTTATCTTGAATATTTCAGTTTAATATGCCCTTCCACCGACCAAATGTTGGTCGACGCATAGCTTTTGGCCCAGCCATGCCAAGTGTAAGTCAACTCCTCATGGACTCTTTCGAATGTCGTCAGTTTTCCTCGAGCCACGGCAATTCCGCCTCTGACATTTTTCGAAGTAAACACCTTCATAGCTTGTTTTCTAGATTACTGTGGCTAATGGAGGACTTTTTCCTAATCATGATGTGTACGTCTCTCAGCCTTTGAAGCAGCACTGCCGCTTTCTCTGCTCGTTTCGTACCCATATGTGGACCGTGTCCTATCCTCGTAGCTAAGTTTTCTTTTTCAGATTTTGACTTTTGAGTTTTTTCGTTCTGGGCTGGAGGCTGGAGGCTGGACACTGGACACGGTCACTGTCATGGTTCAGCAAACACCCTTCTTCACTCCATTCTACAGCTGGTTGATGTCGAGGTTGTGGCTTGAGTGATGTGATCAAACAGACTATGTCCTACTGCAGGAATTCGAAAACACGCCATTTGACTACAACCTACGTTGAACATGTCAACAACAACATCTTTCGCTTCTTTTGCTGCACTAGTGAAAGTCCGAAGACGCGTGTACGTACGGTTGAATATGTCGATGAGGACCACAACCTGATATCGCTATCTTGCTCTGTGGAAGGTTGGTGAATTCCACACGCCGTTTCGAGAGGTCTCTTTCCATCTACCTACTTGCATGTGTTGGTATGGGGAGCACTCCAGCTAACTAACTGCGAGCTTTGGTCGCCCCCTTTTGATATTTCCGCTCTCGTGCATGTGTGCATCTATACTGTTTTGCTTGCTGCTTGGCTTGTGATAACGCTTCCATGGCGCAGCAGAGAAAGACAGAAACTTCGAGTCTCGGCCTGGTAAAGTATTTGTTGTCTTTAGCTTTGGATCCATGTCGCCAATATATTGACTCTAGAACTCCGGGGACCAGCAGCAGCAGCAGCTGAGCTAGAACAGGGCATTTGAGATCACACGTCAGGCACTGCTACTTTTACTTCTCAATCGCACAGTTAGGAGACTGAAAATCATTGACTCGCAGCAGCAGAAGTGTACTGTGGCCGCTGGGATAGTCCACACTGGAAACATTCTGGTCCGTCTTGCTCCTGTGTATGACAGCGAGGTTGACGTCGGGCTTGCTCGTACATTGCCTTCAAGGTTTTTGAATCAGCAAAGCGATCGATGGCGTTTGTGAACCCTCGTTGGGCGTGCAGGTCTGGGAGTAGATGGCAAGCATCTGCAACTTCCCAGCTTGTTCACGTGCCTTTGGCCCCATGGGCATTAGATCCACTTTGCGCTGCAAGTCCAAGGTTGGGTGAATTTTGTCCGTCTCGTTCTTCTTGAAGCCACAACTTCCTTTTGTCTTTGCATCCCCCTCCATCTTTGGCTTGATGTGTGCATCTTTCTGTACAGCCGTGACCCGAAACTTCTACTCCTGCCTGGCTCCAAAGCTGGTCGTGTTTTGGTTAGCTTTGTGTTCGACGTGCAAGCGAATCTGATGCGCTTGTGGATATGAAAGTTTCCGCCAGGTAGGAATTCTCTAAGCTGGCTGGCTGGCAGGCTGGAGTCATTTCGTGGGCTTGATGGGCTTTAATATCTGTGATGTGGCAAGTATGGATCCGCGAGAAAGCCTTCTGAAGAATGGTGGTCCACAAGTCCAGGAGCCAGTTTCAGAATCTGCTGTCCATTATCCCTCTACTGAAAAGAAGTTGCACATGAGCCAATACTAGATGGACATGGAGATTCAATAACCATTACTGCATGTTGCCATGATGGCTTCTGTATTGCCTTCTAAGATCTCTATTCTCTCTTTCTGTCAGAGTTTACTTCATTCGATGTAAATCGCTCTGACTAAGATCTTAACTAAGGAGTCCAGAATCCAGATCCTGTAACATGTTGATTGTTTGGGTTATAAATGTGGATCGATCATGATGAGCGGAAATTACACAATGGAAAAATCGAGCCCGGTAGTGGGTACTGTACTTGTCAACCTCGCCAATAATACATCAATTAATGTTCTCTCTCAGCGAAGAGACATCGAGGCTCGGTCAGACTGTCCGGTGGGCTCAACAGTTCTGGAATCCCATGACTGATACGAAAGTCCTTGTAAGAGGGCGCTCGGACTCTAGCTCAGTGAATTTTAAAGGCCCGAGAACTATTTCGGAGTATGTGGTGTTCAGGTCAATGGAGGCTACACCGACCCACTCATATGCTGCGTGTGTAAATTGTACGCTACCATGTAAAATGTTCGCAGGACATGTTTACTTTCGGAAGGCATAGCTGTAGGCCACCGTGCCAAATGGCAAGATCTGACGCCACATCCAGGAGGTGTAATTTGTACTCAATCATGGTAATGGTAAGAATGTGGGGTGGCGGGGGCTGGGGGCTGGGGGGGTCCTGCCTTTTCACTTTCCGAAGACATAGGTCAAGATACGAACCTGCAACTGTGCCCAGATCTCATCTGTGGAGAAGAGAATCTTGGGAACAGACTCCCATGCTTATGCATCTGGTGAGTAGACTCTATGTCGTAATTTCCAGCATTTGCATGCGATGTTGGTCTACCGTCAACTGTGTACGTATGGTTCATGATTCTGGAAGAATCTCAGTGTGAGCTTTGTAGTAGATGTACACTGTGTACGACTTGTACTTTCTGACAGCCTATTACAGATACGTGGTAAGCGTGGTACAGTCAGTAATGCGGCCGACTTTCGACCTTCGAGTGGCCTCCGATAGCTTATCATACAGGTTTTCATGTGATAATCGAGATCCTACAGAAGTGGGAGACTGGACATGAGAATATGTCACTGTGACCTCTCTACGCCAAGTCTAGCGCCTAGTACTGCGAGATGATTGCAGGCTTGCAGGTCAAACCTCAGTGCAAACTCCGAGCACTCGCGAGCCCTCGAGCGCACAAGTCTCCAACGTCGCCGAAAACCTGCCGTTCACTACGTTCGCCTGCACAATGACCCAAGTTCTCCCAACCACTGAGGTGCAGGAAGATTTAGCGACATGTTCGATGAGTCAGAATTTCGATCATGTCTGGACTGTCGCCATATGATTTGAGTACTTTACAGCAGTTCTCCTGACGTGGCTACGGCCTAGCTAGGCCGAAATGTCACATTCTGAACGAGCGGTGTGGAAGATTACTTCACGTTTCTAGTGCAGGGCCATGGCAGTAGGCACTAGGCAGGGAAATAATTTCCTCTCAATTACGTGTTCATATCAGTAAATCTGACTCTTCCCATTCGCCACTGTGCCTTCCCGCATCCCTCCTTGAACTACAATCTATCCGCTGTTGACTTCTCGAGGCATTTCCAACGGTATAGCAGGCAGTGCTGCGGACCGCAGTTGCATTTTAATAATGTGACGTTTCCTTGTTCGAACATCGTTGAATTTTGCAGGAGCAGTGTGTAAGTCCGATGTGTGCCTCTTTCCACTATGCCGAAGCCCACTATCGATCGTGTGGACTCACCTGCGAACGCCACCTCAACTTTGCACATGCCTCCCACACTATTTCTCAAAATCCATTTCTTCTAGGCTGTCTCATTTCATGTCCCCCAAAGACGGTGACTATTGCTTGGCCCTCCCTCATGACCCGCTTGTGCTCTTTGGAGTGGCTCGCACTATGTGTGATGTCGGAGATACTTCATGCATTTTTGACAAACTGAGAAAAGTGGAGGTTGGAAAATCGAAAGTTCGTAATCGCTACAGGAATAAATTCCATCCACTTTAGACTAAAGAGTGGCTAATTAAGCTTTATCCACCGCTGAGCATTAGCATAATGTTTCGTCAATTAGCATACATTCAGCAAGAAAGTAGGAAAGAGCTTTTACTGTTTTCTCAGACCACGATCAAAAGCTATCTGCTTAACGAAAACACTGGCACCCGTTGTACGACTTCGTTACAGCGCTTCACGCAACCAGAGATCATGTGCGATGAGTTGGCCGTTCGACAGTAAGAATGAAGGCTCAGTCATTCTACTAGAGGAGAAAATCATTAATGGACAGTCATGAATGAAATTAGCTGTTTGCTTGGATTACCTTTAGCAACCGACCTACCGAACATTGGTTAAAAAGTTGACCTCCCTTGCATTTTCCGATTAGCTGAGTACAAGGGTAACGGGGTCCTAAGTCCTATGAGGGTCATGAATTACAAGGGTTTAAGATTCAACTTCGGAACCAGATACACGCATTCAGCCAACTTGTATCAACTAGCCACATCTTCGTCACCGAACGGGTAATCCCTTCAATAAGTAAAAGACTCGAGTCAAACGGAGTGATCAGAATTTCTCTAAATATCAAACATCAACATCAACGAAGGCGAAGACAAAAAAAAAGGATAAAAGAACCCAATTGATGTGATTGTAGGTTTCATTGGACTAGCTGTTGAGAAAGATCAATGACCAGGAGATCCCTCTGTCTATTAGTACGTGCCTGTGGGTGGAAAGTTCTGAATTTGTGGGCCGCACACTTGCAGTAAGGTGCACAAACAATGAAGGGATCGTCAGGTTTCTCCAGTTCACCGGTTCACCATTCAGGCTTTCAGATGAACTTCGCACTACACAAGCAAAGTGGACTACGATCAGCAGGGAGGGAAATCCCAATACTGAAAACTCAACCCCAACACAAGCTGACGAAGAGCCTACTGCACTCTGATCCCAGCACAGTCAACACGAAGTAACTTCCTTCGGAAAGACAGTTGCATCAAATGCCATCTCAATGGAATCCCTGGATGCTGTGTAGACTGGCAATATCCAAGGGAGACCTACTAAGCCTTCGATGAGTCAGCAGAGGAGTAGAATAAAGTAAAAGCTGTCATAAATTTTTAGCGACCAGATCAGTGTGAGGAACAGGGGAGGGAAGAAGACAATATCAAATCTGAATACTTCATCTCCGAAGTTGTGAACTTAATCTGTAATATTTTAGCAGAATTTTCAATATAGCTGCTACAATGCGGATGATTCGAACTCCGAGTGCGGATCCGCCTTGACCACCTTGCATACTGTGTGTAATCTGTTTACATGAAGCAACAATGCCATCACCGCTCTATGGCCTTCAAGATATGACGGGCAAAATCTGACGAAAGTACAGTTGAAGACTGAGCATTCCAAACCTTTGCTTAGAACCTTAATCTTTCAGAAACTTTGACAATACCACTCACACATGTGTAAGCAGCAACTGGTGACAATATGCCAACCACCACCAGAGCCGGGGCACTCAACATATTTTTAAATAATAATCGGCTAGAAGCCCTAGACAGCCCTACCAATAGGCAACAAAAACTATTGTATTCAAGAAAGAAAATCAAGATCTGAATTTTTTCCTTCACATTGTAATGTGAAGTAAGCAAGTTTGCTAGAAGCATCACTTCAAATCCAGATATTTTGTGAGGTGCGTCCGTTTGAGCACGTGCTACAGAAATATAGGGTACACTACAAATACAGGTACTCCCAGAAGAAATGTAATGATGAGAACTTAACCTAAAGTCTGAACTCATGGGTTCTAGCGTTGAGCAAATAAGACAGAATATAAATCTCGTTACACTCGAAGTGAGTGTCATACTGGACTCACTGGAAAGGAAACAAGTGATAAACAAATGTGCGAGTCTTCTCTATTCAATGGAATTTAAATGCATGACATGACTGGATGGATCCGGATTGGTGAATAACATTCGGTTGTCGGGGGAATTCGAAACGCCTAGCCCTCGAGTTTACACAACTACATCTAATATTCCTACTCATATCGAAAGTAAATCTACCGATCTAATCAAAGAAAGCTGGCATCAGTAAGCGTTCAGACTCGGCGTAGAGATGAAAAGACAAAAAGAGAACAATTGACAGGAATGCACCTTTGTATCTATGTGGAGATCCAATCCGTCTTCTTGTTCAAATTCCCCTGCTAACCAAGTCCACTTATTTCTTGTACGAAATTTGGTATGAAGACATTGAAAGACGCAAATGCCAATGTGAAGATTTAAAATTTCGTCATAAACGCCAAACACTTTCTAGGATTGTGTATGTCCCAAACAGCGGACTGACAGCAAATATCCGAAAGGAAAGATGAAATAGAGCAGACTTAATTCAAGGCTTAGAATCATTGAGAAGGGCGAAAGATGCTTGCAAGAGACATAGCATCTGTAATTAACAATCATTCACTTGAAATCAGTTAAAACATTGATTCTTCTCTGCACAGGTAGAACATCATTCAAAATTTTCTGTAATCTTCTTCCTCTACGCAATCCTTCAAAATATATATGTATAAATAAATAACCCGTTCGGAGGGACTCACCAAAGAAGCGCCCTTTCTTCACCGGAATACATCAATCCATGATAGAGTTAGTTGTGAGAATTCTACGGTCCCAAAAAAACGGGAACCAATGTAATACAAAGGCATAAGGCATGCATATGCTATGGCTTCTGAGAGTCAATCAAGACTCAAGCCTGGGAGATAATCGCCAGCTCGAAAGACTTGGAAACAGATAACTTTCACTCAAAAAGAAAGCCTGAATGAGAAGATTGACATCTCAAAATGAGAGCTCTCTTGCTAAGAAGTTGATTTTGACTTAACCAGGCAATCCTTTGGACTGCAACTAGCTATCCTTTAGCTAAGGAAAGCAATACATTTACAAAAGATTTATACTATTACTAAATCTACGACATGTTTTACGAACTCAAGATACGTTCGTGGGAGAGCTTAATCCATTTTGCATGTCAATGCAAGGGTGATTGAACTCCTTCCATACTTAGTCATGGTGAGATTTTATTTAGCTTCACTTGATGTGAAGCTTGATACCTGCTCTAAATACACACTTTTGTGCTTAATCCACCTGAGGCAGCTCACTACTGTGACAATTCTCTTCATCCGACAAGATTTTTCTTCGTCCTGCTAACAAGGCTCTCGCATCGATCCATGTATCAAATACACATGCAATTTCAATCTTTGGCGCTCGTAAGTGCTCTAAGTTTTTGACCATACCAAACGTGGGGCTACTTGAAAGTTTTAGGATCTAGAACGAATCGTCAGGATTATGAGGCAGGGCAGGGACAGGAATATGAGGCTCCGCAGGTCCAAATACTAATTCGAGACAAAACCCCGACCCACAAATGGCCTTCGCTCGTTTTCCCACTTTGTCCAAATCTCCTTTGCCCAGCTGCGTGATACAACAGAAAGGACAGAGTCTTCAACACCCCGATGCATCATCGGCTCGAGACAGGCGTTATAATCACAAAAAGGAGCAAATAGAGACAGGCTATGGACATAATGACGATGATTTTGAGTCTAAAATATGTAAACAGAAAACTGAGCTTCATTGATCAGAGAAAGGGGTGTCCTTTACCTGTATTATGCTATTGGCAATAAAAAAGGTGTTGAAACATGCGTAGAATAAACGACCACCACTCTTATCAAAAAAAGCTGCCCTTATATCTCCTGCAATCTGCACAGGACACAGGAAAATGCAACAACAACATCAACACATCGGAGGTTCAAGGCTTTTCTCAAGAAAGATATGTACCGAAGAAGCTCTGGCAATATGAACAAAACTTTCAGCCACAAGTGATCTAACGTGGATCTTATATTACACGGTATCCAGCTCGGGCCTGAAAAAAATCTGTATGAGGGTAGGGAATGTACATGCGGATGGAGTGACGACAAGCAAACACGAACTTGTACACACAGAAGCAGAATCGTATTTCCAATGTCTACTACAAAACATCACAATCATCATCGCTCGGCCAGTGACAAGCAGGTAGGTGATTCACACGTATACAACTGATCGGGATTAGAACACGATAATATCAGAGAAAGCAAAACAAGAAAAAACATTCAACGGATGTGACCTACATAGTTTGAATTGTTTCAAGGAGAAAATCATGTAAGAATCCCAAAACTAATGAAATATAGACGAAGGTACTTACGGCGCATTACAACGGAGCTAGTCCAACACAAGGAAATTATCAAAACAGAATGACTATATAAAGTTCATGAACAGGATCAGAATGTAATAATACCGCAAGGGGTCTCTCAAAGCAGTGATCCAGACAAGCCTTCTTCGCAACAACTGGCCTTTCAGTGTCCATTTGCACCACCCACCGAGGATGACTTTCTTGACCGTTTCTTTCATCTCCTTCTCTGGGTAGAAATGATAAGTAATATCTGGGACTAATAGTGCGGTGACACCCTTCCGTTAAAGGCTTACAAAAACCCTGCGTAACTTCCACTGATGGTTGGTATAGTTGTCCTGGGACCTGAAACGAATGAACTCGTTTGTATCAGACATATAGTTTATCTACTAAAATTGTGGCCAATCTCTTGAATATTCCAAGAACTAAGAATAAAACATATATCGATAATCGTTAGATCCTTTCATATCGATAATTTAGCTACCTACATCGTAACTAGAAGCTGAGTCAACAGAATAGGACGCCACACAAAGTAAAATAAACTGTCACAAATTTCAATGTAATGAAGTCTGTTGATTTCGTCTTACGTGTACCCCAAGCTTTAGTATGGACTATATGTACTTCTTAAAGGCAGGAGAGACCTACTGAGTCTTGGCTGACCAACAAAAGGCCTCTGAAATCTACCCTGGTACAACGTCTGCGGGAGGAAGAGATAGGACCTTCTAACGTTATAATTCAGAAGCCATAACTGGCTCTCAGGATTAGTACCGAGAAACGACTCGCACCCACGAACTCTCGGTGTCCACTTTACACCCTGAACCCGGGTTCTTAAATTTCTATCCGTGCTTTATGTTAATTGCATTGAAGTTAATTCAGACAAGCCCGATTCATAAATTCCAGTCATATCCTGAAGTCCGCAAATCTCACGTGCTGTCTGGGCGGGGCTAAAATGAAGAGTACTTTTATAATGAGTCAAGTTAGTTCAACCTGACTCATTTTCGAAACAACTAGCGTAGCTATTAAGTATTGTACATCTCTGTTTCTCATCAGCTCTAATGCGAAAAGATCTAATTCGGCAATTGGCCATGTCGCATTTGGCTTATGTCTACATGGAAATGGCAGGAAGAATGTGTACAAAAACGGGAAAAATATATATATATTTATCACACCAGTACCAAGTATGAAAACCCCAAATAAAAAAAAATTCAATGATTGCAGTCTTATCTTAGGTGAGATGACGAAAATCTCAAGTTATTACAGCGAACGCCACATAGCTAAAGTTAACAAATACTCAACAATCAGGAGTAAAAGTTTCGCCTCTTTTCATTCTCAAGTTCTTTTACAGGTAAAACACATACCTCTTCCACCTGCTGGATCTTGAACTGGACACAATCAGTATTAATCGTATCATACAGCCGTATTCTGCGGAGTTCTCGAGACTTGGCCGGAGGTAGGTGTACTTCTGGTACCCCGCCTCCTTGGTTCCCATTTGGAAACGTCAAAATTTTACTCCAGTAACCTACATATCTTCGTTGGCTCGCAATCGTCACCTGAACACATGAGTGGAACTCTGTCAATTTAGTATAATATTTCACTAAGGACGTTTACCTTTTGAACATCATGGAGTCACGGTAGATCATCTAGCAATAATATTTTGGAGGTTGAGCATATTACCCCTTCATTGTTGGTCGTGCGCCGATCTGCATATAACTGCAACGCTTCTTCTGGACCCATCCCTTCGTACACAAGAAATGCGCAAACCATCAAGCCTGTCCGCCCCTTACCAGCCTGCAGATGAAATTCAGTTTTGTATATATTCAGTTAGAATGACAGGGATTCATTATGAATAGAGGTCTCTGGAGTTCCATCTGATTTATGCTAAAAACTAAAAATGGATTGAATAAGTAGCGGCATGTCACGTACACGGCAATGTATGACCGCCACATTGTTCGGATCTTCATCCAGCCAGTGTTGCACACTTTCACAGAACAACTTGACGAGTGACAGAGGAGGCACATGATTATCATCAAAGGGGATCTCCTCCACCCGCCCATGAAAATTCTCTGGGTCATACGTGGCCTCACAACACAGATTATAGACCTGAAAGAGACAAAGACCATCAGAAAAAATATTTCTGATAGACTACTTCTTAGGAACTATTTTAGCACCAGTAATAAGAACTTGTCAAGTAAATTAAAAAATCGGTCGACAAACCTCACCCAACAAAATGGATCTTCAACCGCTGTAACCGCTCGATTTTTAAACTACTATTAAAGCTATGAACATATTTATCAAAATCTTCAAGCGATGCAGATTTCAAGCTATAGGAACTATTTTAACACCAGTAATAAGAACTTGTCAAGGAAACTAAAAAATCGGTCGACAAACTCCCCCAACAAAATGGATCTTCAACCGCCGTAACCGCTTGATTTTTAAACTACTATTAAAGCTATGAACATATTTATCAAAATCTTTAAGCGATGCAGATGTCAAGCTATAGGTAGAACGTGACACGATGAAAGCCACGAATTGTCCATAGTACCACATCTCATATAAATTCTCACAACTGGAATCGCTTGACTGAGATCAAGATCTAATGTGGAATCGCGATGAACTGATTGATGCAATTCTTGGTTTTCAAACATGTGATTTACCTTTCCTTTCAAGATGGGAAAAGGAATCCTTAGACTACAGCTGAGGTATATACTACAGGCTATCAGGATTGCTCAGCAACATCCAGCTTGATACAGACAATACTGTATAAGGGCAACACTCTCTACTGGTGTAAATACAATGACAAGTGGCATGATGATAGAAGATGCAGATCCTACAATATGCTGAGTGATGGATTACTGAAGGAAGGGCAGATGCAATCACTGTCCAGAGATTGCGACAGTCTAACATCGGCGACGGTGCGACAATCTTCGAAGCTGATTGCGCAGAAATCCTCTGAAGCAGGCGAAGAGAGGGAGAAATATGTACCTTGTAATGCGAGCCATGTCGAAGGTCCAGCGCTCTTTGGACTTGCCACATGGGATTCCTGATGAATGCTTGCATATTCTGAGCTGGGAACGACATGGCCAGAAGGCGATCATTTATGTAGGACAAATCCAGATCGTATCCCTCAACCACCAGGCGCCGTCGCTTCTTCGACACCAGTGCGCGGATGTAGCGCGAGCCCGATACAATATGCAGGAGAGTGGTTGCCGGCTTGCTCCCGAGCAATGCCGTCCTGCTGCTACCACCGAGACCTCCATCCCCGTCCCCCAACCCCGCTTTGCCCAACTTGGCCCCCGTCGTGCCCCTTCTTCTCGCTCCTGCCTCGAAGGCTAATTCTTATAGCGATCCCTTGTCACCATGAGACCGCTTTCGTCTTCCACCAGCTCCTCCCCTTGCAACTGAGCTGTGCGCGAGGTGGAGGTGGAGCCTGCTACGATCCGAAACGTGAGTGGAAATGGTGATCCGCGCTCCTGCGAGAGAGAATGCGTATCGCTAGAGATCCCCAAGGAGCTGCCCACGTTCTGGCGCAAGTGCAAGAGCCCAGCTGTGAGCTCCTTCAGAGTCTGTGGATGCGCGCAAGTCGTCCTTCAAATCTATCGTCTCATCCCTTCCCTTGCTAATTCTTCATCGAGAGGAGCTCCGACGTCTTCGTCCTTCCCTATCTATGTCTCAGTGAGCTGCTCCCACGGCTGCAATTTGCGATGCGGAGTCTATGCTCGTCGTGCTCTTCATTTCCTCTCGCACAAGCCAACCATTGCTTCAAGTTCCGTGTCCACGGACGGATCCAGAAGCTTCGTGTATCTATGCTGATCTACTATGACTAGGTCCTCTCCTGTGCTGATTGCAAATTCCGAGAGACTAATTCCTCCTAAGCCAGCCTGCCAGCGGGCAGGCGAGCGAAAGAGCGACCGCGTGATGATGGAGACCGGGCGATGCCTCAATCTCGACCACGGTACACTCCACTACTCACTCACTCCTCGTATGAATCCGCAGAAGTCGCCGAGAAGCAACCACCCTCGGGAATGTCCAGAAGACGAGTGACACTCCACACAACTCAGCTCTCGTGCACGAGCTGATACAATCTCCAAATTCACACCCAAAACAAACCTACAAGCAAGCAAAGCCCGAACCCCGAAGCGCGCGGCACAGCAGCACCAATCACGTCTCGTCCTTGTTCCTTGAGCGAACTACTCGCTGCTCCGAGGAATCCGAAGCAGCTCCGCCTCCTACTCCTCCTCCTGTTTTTCTGTTCGGGGTTTGGATTTGTTGTCAGTGACTGGCCACGACACTCACTCACCAATATAGATACACAACAGCATCAGCAGCAGCAAAAATGGTCTGTCTGCCGACCCTGGGCCAGAAAAATCTCGCAGAAAGAAAGGGAAGAAATCGGGAAGGAAGAAGAATATGTACTCGGTGATGGAGGGAGGGAGGAGGGGAGGGAGAGAGTGAGAGAGATAGTGAGAGGCGAGGCAGCAGGCGACGAGAGTATTTAAAAAACAGGAAGAAAACGCTAGCACGCGCACACACTCCACAAACACACAAACAACAAAACTGAAAGAAAGAGCAATAAAATCTGCTACGCTAACGGCGGAGTCGCCCGCCCCATGCCTCCTATCCACACAAATCAAGCATACTCTCTACAAGCACCCCGAGGCTGTCGACCGACGAGCCCCCCACCTATTTACTACACAACTTCGGCCTCGGGCCAATGTCGGCAAATCGCTACGTCCGTTCGCGATGCCTCAGGCCCAAGCCCAAGCCCGAGCGAGAAGGAACATTCGATACAGTGTTCTGGTCACTATCTGCATTGTCATCCCCTACCCCCGCCCCAACCCCAACCCCATCCCCCTCCGCCAGCAGCTCGGCTCCATTTTGGCACTTGCGCTACTTTCTGCAGTTTCTCTCTTCACTCACTCGCTTCACTTTTCTTCTCTTTTCGCTGCCGTTTACGCCCAGGCCCAGTACCCCACCGCTGCTGACAGTGACGCGAGTTGAGTTCGGTTCCGTCCCGTTCTGGGATTCTGGTCTACGCGCGGGTACCTTTACTTTCTTCTCGTTCTTCTAAGGCGCTGGCGTTGGTGTTGGTCTCAGCTGCTTCCTTCGCTGCTCCGGTGGCTCCTCCTGCTCTCTGTCTTTGTGCCGTCGGCGACCTCCTCCTCCCCCCTCGCTAGAGTATCATCCTCGTCTCCTCTCCTCTCCTCTCCACTCCACTCCACTCCACTCTTCCCCTCTCCTCGCCTCGCTTCCTCTGTCAAAGTCTCCTCCACCTCGTCGATCAGTCCCCCGGGCCGGGTAGGACGGGCATAGAAGAGAAGCCGTAGCAGAGAAGAAGCAGAAGAGTTTCCTCTTTCCCCGTCTCCTCTGTCCTCCTCTTGCTCGCGTCTCCCCCTCCTCTTACACCCCCATCCCCCTTGCCCTCGTTCTCTACTTCCCCTTTCCTCTTTCCTAGCAGTGCCTGCCGCCGATCTTCCCGCTCCCGATGCTGCCGCCACTTCCGCTACTCTTCTAACCCCATTTCCCGTGCGCTTACCTCGGGTCTGAAGGGACTCGAAATCCTTCCCCCTCGCGATTACCCCCCGGTAGCCACCTGTTCGACACCCACCTTTCCACACCGCCCTCCCGCTTCACCCGGTTCCCTTCGTCTGGCACTAGAGCCTGCCGAGAATCGGCCCCCCAAGCACCCAGCTCCTCGTACAAGAACATTGTCCGTCGTCGGTTCCAGGATGCTCGCAAGCCCGGGCCTAATTACCGGATTTCCCAGCTTAGCAAGCGTCCACTCTGCCCAGCTTTACCCTTTGACCGGCACCAGATGTTCCCTCCTCGCGCCTGAGGAGGGACCCCGAACCGCCTCGCCTGTAGTGCACGTAGGAACGCCGGTCAGATGGGGGAGCGGGACGGGATGGGCTTGGCAGTGGTCGTTCGGTTAACCAGGGGGTAGTGTGTGAGTGAGTTACGTGTTGGCAGATCCTCTGGTGGTGCCACACTGTGCTTCACCACTGGCGGGGGCAAGTAGCCAGTAGACCGCGGAGTAGAGGACAAAACTCGGTACTGTTAGGGTAAGCTCCCATAGGGAGGGGCAGGGGCTGGGGCAGGGGGCGGGGACTGGAGTGTTCAAAAGGATAGGACTCGGCGAAAGACAGACCGAGACACACCATGCGTGTGCACGACAGGGGCAATGCCATGTCATGGAACTTCCCCATCCATCCCGCGATGCAATGGTATGGATGGATGGATGTGAGCTGGCCGGGGGGTATATCATGTGTGCGCGTGCGTTTCGGCCATTGCCCCCTTTTGTCGCTTGGGTGGAACAGTGGCGGGCATCACCGCTGGGGCTTGTGGAATTTGGGCAAAGTTGAATTCTTCGCTCCTCCGATGGTGTACACGTGGCGAGTTTCCGTCACATCCGATGGTTGCCCTCTCCACGGCACCGACTCCGAGACCTCCACCGAAATGTACCCGGGTTGATCGCCGCTGGCACGTGACTCCAACCCTGGGTTTAAGTCTTCCTTCCATATACGGATCCATTCTCTACGTACGTACCTGATGGTGGTCCACTCCAGACTCCATACCATGAAACTCTCGGAGTCAATGTGACTTTAACTTTCTCTTCTTCCTCTCAAAATCATTAGGTGCTGGGATATCGTATGCAATACAATAAAACTCTTATCTGATACGTACAATTACCAAAATAAATATACTTCCCATTGATCCCTTGCTGATCGAATGGGCCGGATCAGTTTCGTAGGCATCCATGTACCTCCATGCACTGTTCTGCTGGCGAAGCAAAAGGATATACTTTCATAAAGTTGAGTCTTATTCCTTTCCGGTAATTTTTACATAGCTATTTGTTTATTTCAACTTCAGTTCCAAATCCACAATCATGGAGGAGATCTTTATGTCTTGAGCACTTTAGACACATCAGCCACCTTAAAATTTGTTGATTTGTTTTTGAACTTGGATTTATTAAGTACAAATCCTGCTCGAATTTATACAACATCACCAGATTAGATTTTGAATACAAACTCATTTGAAGTATCACATCTATGATTTTTGTTTTGACATGGAGAAATACTGAAAAATAGGACGAAAGAGCCCTCAAATGTTACAAACATGAAACTGTGTGGAACAAGAGTATCAAAACGAATAAAGTATTTTATTGGACCTAAGATATACAAACCACTTATATGAAATCACCTATAAATCAAATGAACATGTGGTAATTACAGGATTAACTCCTTGATTGCTATGACATCTACCATGTAGAGCACTAGCAAGTGCTCTTTTGAAGTCAGTGGCTAGTGCAATCTAGAATTATCATCGTATGTTCATAGATGTATCATGCCCTTATCAAAATTTTGATGTCAACATTGAAGGCGTCGTTTTGCCAACTAATATGATTTCTCCCGCAGTTGGTTCTGAACAGGTGGACTTAGATCAATTGCATGGCCAGTACTGTGACAACTTGCAAACCTTATTGAGTTTACAAGGTGTGCACTAGTAAAAACTGAAGGTTTGCAATTATTCGTGATTTCGACACAAAGTCTCAGGTAACTATTATCGAGATTAAAAGAAATAAAAACTTCGAGTGACTGGAAAATTCATGAAATGGACTAATCAAAGCTCTATCAATCCAACTGTACGAGAGGAAAACCATGGGAGAGAAAACGCCTTGACAAAACATCCATAGCGCTACACATCAGAGACCGACGAAGGCCAGGGAAAAAAACCAACCCTATGACCAAAAGAATAAAATTATATCTTAAGAAGTTTCTATCTCTCCAGTGGTGCCACTAAAGATGCACGCAAATATATCACCACGAAAACGGGTGGTAACCTGGATCCCGAACAAATTGTCGAAGTATTGTGTGTCTCATAACTACAGACTTACAATAACAATGACATATTTGATTAATGACATTTGTATCAGTCGGAGGAGGCAAAGCGTGCAGCCATGCATAACTGGAAGAATGCATCTGCACCGAGCGTTCTTTTGTTGGAGCTGGAGCCTCGTTTGCAAATGCTCTTTCTACTCGATCTCCATTTACAAAAATGTAAATCAGCTCAATCGGGAAGCTAACGATTCGGTTACACAGATCGTCCTGGCCAAACAGAATGGAGGATCTTCCTCAGAAACGAAGTCCAGCGTATCGTTACCATACAGAGGGGATTGTAATTCACGTCGTGTACCGTATCCCGGCTTCTATGATGGTGCTCGAGAGTGCACGTGAGTGCCATCACAAGCGCCGAGCCGGCAGTCGCCCGAACCCAGCGGTTCCACGTGTCGCCTGTCTGGTCAGGTCGTTTGTTTTTCTTCGTGTCTCGAAGCCCCGATGACCAGGTGCGAAGCCCACTGGATCAGGCAGGGGGTAGGGGGTGGGGCAGTGGACCTCTGGGAGCAGGCGGGGCGTCGACCGTCGACCGTCGAACTGTACATGACTCCTCTACCGGTATTGACCTCGCGGTACAGTAACAGTACAGTACACGGTGGATTGCAGAATACCCCAAGCAGGCCAGCCCCCCGCCAGCCCCCCAGCCAGCCAGCCAGCATGGGACCTTGGGGCCTGGGGCTCAGTGGGGGCAATATGCTCCGCCTCGCAGAGAATAAGAATTGCGTTCTCCAGACGAGAACGCAAGCAAGGCCATAAGATGCGATAGAAGTTACATGGTCGGTAGGCATCTACGTGGTCCTATTTGGTCTGTGTCAGGTGTTGAGACAAAGCTTACTTTACCGCACTCCTGTACGACCGTCGGCCATAAAAGAAGTGACATGAAAAAGCGATTCGCTTTGCTTTGCATTGCATTCCCTTGAATCCCTTGAATTCCTTGAATCCCTTGCCTTGCCTTTCGTGTCAATTGTGCCATATGAACTCATGAAGAAGCCTGATGTACCTTTGGGGAGCTAGCTAAAGTCGACTCCACCGTATGTGTTGATCACGAATGTGGGTGCGCCTGGATGTGAATGTTGATGCACTGTGGGTTCAGAGCTCGAAGTCTCAAGGACGTCCCCCGGCGTTATGGCAGATTCTACATCTGCACATTCTCCACATTCTCCACCCACAACAACGCAAGATGGGACTAATCCGACTGGTTCGAATTTGTGACACCTGCCATTTCTTTCTCTCTCTCTTTCTCTCTATTCGGTGATCGTTTGTACTCCATGCGGGATTGCAATTCCTTCCACTCGTCCTCGAAAGTCGCTCGGAGCAGACGACTGGGCTTTTTCTTGAGTGACGTTTAGATTGAGCTCTGGCTGGATACGCGATTGAAGTGGTCTTTTTGCACCCATCACTGTACAGCACCAATTGCGCGAGGGCTTTGTCCCCACTACTGTAACTCCATAATCATTTAATGCTCAATCGTACCCAGCTGAAGTACTGTGCAAGGATGAAGATGGTGCGCCGCAACTAAGCCCGAGGGTGAGTGAAAATGTAAAGTGGATCAGATCTCATGATTCTGGCAAATGACGAGAAGTAGTCGAGCATAACTTGTCAATTGCGATGCCAATAACAGCAACGGCACGGTGTTCATGGGTTCAGGCTTTAGGACACCTGCTTTCGTCTTGGCTTCAGAAGTGTGAAGGTGGAACATAAATTGGAAATCGTCATGTCGCAGATCTTAAGCGATAACAACTAGAGCTTCCAAATTTGGTAGGCATTTAAGAGTTTCGGGTGGATGACTCAGTCTGGAAGAAAGGGGCACATGAGGAAGAAGTCCACTCATCAAAGCTGATGAGCATTTTTATTAAAAAAAATGTATTGGTTGGTGATCCTTCGGTGGCGATGCACCAACCTCACCAAAAGCCCATTCATTTCAATTTGTCTCACAAACCCTGGTTTGATGCGTGTTCTTATTCCAATCGGCCTCGAAGCGTACGATTTTCCTGGAATGTTGGAAGCACGAGGGAACAAATCCTCATCTTCGTCCTCATCAATGGAGCTACAGTTTCTTCCTCTTCCTCGTCAAGATGTGCAACAGGAGAAAAGATAAGGTGACGAAAAGGAAGAGCCCTTTATCACCAAAGTTTGTGTAAAGGTGGTGCATCGAAGAGCTTCAGTTTGCAAAAGA